ACACATACTGAAACGTGAAACAAATTTCAATAAATAAAAATAATTATGTTCCTCCTCTCTGACCATAATGCTATAAAGGTTACATTACTAACAGAAGAATCTCTAGTAATTTTATGAACTCATAGAGATACACAACACATTACTGAAAGGTGATGGGGTCAAAAAAGAAAGAAATATCTTGAAACTAAATGAAAATGAAAGCAGAACACACATACCCTTCTCTCACTCTCTCTCTCTCTCTCTCTCTCACACACACACAGACACACAGACACACAGACACACACACACACACACACACACACACACACACACACAGAGAGAGAGAGAGAGAGAGAGAGAGAGAGAGAGAGAGACATATACAACTCACTGAATGCAGTCATAAGAAAGAAATTCACAGCTCTAAAAGCCTATATTGGACCATAAGAAAAACATAGTAACTTATTATATGATGCATCCTAAGAATCTGGAAAAATAAGGACAAACCAACTTAAACCTAAGCTCAGTAGATAGCAAGAAATAGCAAAAATCAAAGAAGAAATCAACAAAATAGAAACAGATAAAAACAACACAAGAATCAGTGAGTCTAAGAGCTTGTTCTTTGAAAAGATCCACAAGAGTTAGAGTACCTTGGTCCAACTAACTAAAAGAAAGAGAAGGCCTAAATTAACAGAATCAGAAATAAACAGGGACATACACCAAAGAAATTCAGAATATTATAAGGCAGTAGCTTAAAAATCTATACTCTGGTAACATAGAAAGTCTAAACAAAATGAATAAATTTCTAGACATCCAACCCAGCAAAGTTAAACCAGATCTTCCTAGATCAACAACCTAAACAGACTCATAACAAAGGAGATTAAAGCACAAAAATCCTTTGGACTAAAAAGGCCTAGCCCATGTGGATCCACAGCAGATTTCTACCAGACTTTAAGAGCACTAAAAACAATATTTATTAAGTCACTAAAGAGGGGGGGGAAACAGAGAGAGAAACAAAGGGAACATCTCCAAACTCCCTGTATGAAGTATTATTCTAATAACAAGACCAGGTAAAGACATAAGACAAAAAAGAAAATGAAAGGCCTACATATATGATGACCTTAGAAGCAAAACTTCTTAATAACAAACTTGTAAGTCAAATATAGGCAAACATTTAACAGTGGTTCGAAACCCTTCCTAATGCTGCTACCCTTTAATACAGTTCCTCATGCTGTGATGACCCCAACCATACAATTCTTTTGTTGCTACTTTGTTATTTTCCTTCTCTTATGAATCATATCTGTTATTCAGAATATCTGATATGCAACCCCCAAAGGGGTTTTGAGCCACGGGTTGAGAGACACTAAAAAAGATCATCCATCATGATCAAGTCAGCTTTATTGCTGAGATATCAGGAAAATTCAAGATCTGTAAATCAAAAACTCACATAAATGGACTTAAAGACAAAATATCACATGATTGCATCAATAGATGCAGAAAAGGTCTTTAACAAAATCTAACATGCCTTCATTGTTAATGTTCCAAGAGAACAGGATTGGGGGAACATATTCAACATGGTAAGGCTATATAAGACAAACACATAGCTAACATCATCATAAAATGGAGAAAAATTGGAAGCAACATCTTCAAAATCAGGAGTGTACACTAACCTTGCTCGTTTTCAATATAATGCTTAAACTCCTGGCTATAAAAAAGACAAAGGAGGAAATTCAAGTAATACAAATAGAAAAACAAGTCAAATTACCTATTTTAATGATACTATATATCAGTACCCCAAATTTACATCAAATGCTATGTATAGTACTTTCATCAAAGAAACAGGATACAAACTCTGTAACTTTTCCATATACTGATAACCAACTCACTGAGAAAGAGATCATGGACACACTCCTATTCATTATAGCCTCAACAAAGAAATATCTGGGCATAATCCCAAGCAATGAGGTAACAGACCTTTGTAATGAAAACTTTAAATCTCTGAAGAAAGGGATTCAGAAAGACACTAGAAGATAGAAAGACCCCCCTCATGCTAATGGATTGGTAGAATTAATATTGTGAAAATGACCATCCTACCAAAAGCAATGTATAGATTCAATACAATCCCAACCAAAATTCCCATTACATTCTTCACATACATAGGAAAAAAAAACATAAAATCCAAAGCAATCCCGAGCCCCCACAACAGTGCTGGAGGAATTACCATACTAAATGTCAAGTTATGTTATAGATAGTAATAAAACAAATGGCATTGCCACAAAAAATGACATGTAGATCAAAGAAAGAAAACTGAAGACACAAACGTTAGGGCAAAATCCATGCCAGCTAAGAGATGATACCACTCATAAAGGGCTGAAAATCATCATAGAGCATTGTCAAAAACTAAAAACACAACTATCATATGAGCTAGTTACACCACTCCCTCACATATACCTAAAGCACTTGGCATCCTACTCCACAGATACTTCCTTACCCATGTTCACTGCTGCCCTATCCACAATAGCTAGGAAATGGATAAAGCCCACGGGACATTCAACTCACAAATGCATAATGAAAATTTGCTACATATGCACAATTGAACTATATTCAGCTGCTATAAAAAAATCATGGAATTTTCAGGTAAATGTGTATAATTAGAAAATACTGAGTGGAATAACCCAGACTCTGAAAGACAAAAGCCAACTGCAGTCTTATTTGTAGATCCTCACTCCAAATCTTTAGGTGTGCTTCTATAATCTGCACTATCTGAAGAAGCCAGGAAAGTAGAAAGGGAGCATGAGATAAAAGGAATGGGAGGTGAAATGTAGCTCTAGGGAAGAGGATAGTAGGAGACAGGAGCTATGAACAGGATGATGTAAAAAAAAAAATTGAGGACTTTTCACTAGAAAATGGGAAGCAAGCATAATGCAGGGTTGATGGAGGAAGGACAGAAATAGTGCTAAGAATGTTTGAAAAATGCCATAGAGAATCCCATTCTTTTACAAGCTTACATATGTATTTATTCATATGCATGTGTGAATTGGATTTAGTTATGCCTTATGGAGTGATGGTGCTTCCTCCAAGAGCTAGGTACCGTGACAAGACCCCTTGTGCCAGACATGAAAAACCTCTCTCCGAGTTGTTGGTTAGGGAATTAGAAGAATCTCCCCAAACAATACAGGGCATTGTCATTATCCTTACTTGCCTCCCAGAAGATGAAAGTAAAAGAACCCATAGACTTTGGACACAGGTCTTGGGGGGTTTGACATGGAACTGTACTGGAAGTCTCTCTGAAAATTAGTTCTCTTAGTAGTTAGAGGTATCAGGCTGCCAAAGTAGAAAATTAATCATAATACCTAGCTGTAAATCTAGGAACCACAGCAATAACTAGACAAGCAACATATCCTTAGTGGTGCAGCAGTGGCACTTTTATCTTGGGGGTAACCAACAGCTGCCTAATTGCGTTTAAGTCCATCTCAATAGGAAGGAATTCCAATACTGGAAACCTTTCCAATTCCTCATGACTGGAGTGGTCATAGAACCTAAACATCCTACTTCTGACTTAAAAAAAAAAGTTTCTAACTGCAGTCTAAATACTCATCCTTATACTTCTGGATAACTGAAACTCTTAAATCTTATCAAAGAAGCTCCCTTTTACAACAGAGAGACTTTTAAAGAGGTACACAAATAGTCCACTGCAGAGACTAACGTGACTGTGTGGTGCTCAACCCCAACTGATACATCAGAAACATCCTCTACACTCAAGGAAAATTGGTGAAGAGTGGGTAGCAGGTAAGAGGCAGAGGCTCTACCTGCCACTAGAAAGGCCTCCTTGGATGTGACAGGGAAAATGCTGACATGGAATTTCAACAATATGGTAGCCTAAGCAAGACTGGCATACTGATAACACCACTTGACATGCAAGCATGGATGGTGCAAATTCCACATGGTCCCACTGCTAGATGAAGAGCTAAAGGCAGTCAATGGCTGTTGAGAGAGGAAGAATCATGTTCTCCTCAGGATGAGCTCTTATATAGGTGTCTATTCCCAAGTGGTTAGCCCTGGGCATATGTTCATATGAATAATGCTAAATAGACACAGTAAGTTACATATACAATGGGGCATATATATTTATACATACATGCATGTATACATATTTGTAACAATAATTAAAGAAGAGGTCATGGATTTGGGAGGAAAAGGTGGGACACAGGAGAGGTTGGAGGAGGAGGAAAGACAGGAGTCATGCAGAGTCAGTGCTCATGTATGAAGTGTACACACACACACACACACACACACACACACACCATAAATTCTCAAAGTATTGATTTGAATTTTAAATAATTAGACATTTTTCTACCATTAAAAATACTTAGTCTGCTCAATTTAATAGTGTTTAACTTCCTTCCTATGATAGCCAGATAGCACCTTAATATTACTTATGTGTAAGTACTTGGATAAACAAATCAGCTGCAATGGTTAGTCTAAATAGTTACAAATGTATAAATATGTTGCACACACGAAGGAAGATGTTTCCTTTCTCTTGAAACCAAGTACCAAAGACATTTCAGACATTGTGTTCTATTTTTTTTTAGAATAACAGATTCCTCCCAATTAGATTGTAACAAGGCTTACTAAAAAATATTCTGTTTAATAGATGACCATTAAACATATCCCAAGTGATCACAAATTATAATAATGTATGTGACTGAAGACACTGTTGGGTGGTGACATTAAAAACTTGGTATCATCTGGTTTATTATCATTTGGGGGATAGGATCAGGTACAGTGTCCTAAATACTAATAATCTGTCATTTGAATGAAAATTTCCAGGACATTTTAAAGCCTCATAATTTTAAAGTCTCATAATCCTACAATAAGAAATGGCCTTTGTCTACAGCTCCCAACACTTGGGCCGTGGCATCAAAATAACAAATGTGTTTTTCTTATCAAATCTTGTTTGTGATCTGTAGTTTCTTGCTATTCCTGTCCCAGATTTTGAGCTGTATTATTAATTTTGTTTTCAGGATGCTGTCTTGATGCAGTTTTGTGCAAACAAATTGGATAAGAAGGATTTCTTCGGGAAGTCAGATCCTTTCCTCGTATTTTATAGAAGTAATGAGGATGGAAGGTGGGTGTGTCTTCTACACTACTCAGTGCTATGGTAATGCTAATGTTTTTCAGATAAGTTAGTAAATGGAACAAAATATATGATATTCTAAAGATGGATGTGATTTTTTATTTCAATAACTAATTTCATAAGCATTTATCTTTTATGTTTAACATGTAAATTAGTGTCTGCTTCCTCATCTCTTTTTATAAAAGTTTGGCATTTTGTAGAAGCCTGAATTAACAAATGTATTTTCTATAGAACTGAGTGGGAACGATTTGTTGTGGAGGAAGGTGAGGGAGACGTGTATTATTCTGTCCTACAGTAATTTTCCTAGAAATCTTGGAGTGTAAAGCTCGGTGAAGTGTTTCAGTGTGCTGTAGTGTTTTCCAGTCATGACTAAATGCGTATGTGCTGAGTTCACTGTGCTTGGCTCTATCTTCTGATTATTTATTCCTGTGGTTCCTGCCATACTGTCCACATTTATGAGGAAGTTTAGTAGCTAGAATTATAGCTGAGTCTGTTGCCAAGAAGTAACTCATGTCTGATGCTTAATGGCTCTGATAACATGCACTTAGATACCGTTTTCTGATCTGCAAATGAGGTGATCCATCTCATGGGGTGAGGAGTGAATGAATTACTATAAAAACTCATGTCAAAGTCTTGAGCAAATCAGAGCTTAACCATTATCTAGTATTCATATTGTTTTATACATTTTTGTTGGTCTTAAAATGCATAATGAAATTTATCTAAAGAGAAAATGTTGCTTAGAAACTGAAAGTAGAGGAAATGGAGCTTAAATTTCAGCTGCTATCGGCTGTGCATATACCTGAGATGGTGCAAGGTGTCAGCGCTGGGCACACTTGGCTTTTGAATACCAGTTTATCCACACAGAAATGAAGGGCATAAACATAACTTAGCTGTTCCCAGGAAGGAAGAAGTTAGCAGACAGACAGAATTTCTTCACTTCTATATTCTGTGTCCTTCTGACTGAACTGCTGCGTGTTTCCTGAGTTATCTTATTTTTCTAAAAATTTTATACTCATACGATTTCAACTTATCACACATTTAATGATGCTTTTGATACAAAAATATATTCTGCTCATACAAATGATACTTTTAATCAAATGGAATCTATTTTCTTCAAAAGTAAAACTATTCCAAATTTCCAAAACATTGAAACTTGTTAAATCTTTTTCAAACATATTTTCATCTAGTTTACCATCTGTGTCAAAACATGTATTCATGAATATATATTAAAAATTTATATATAGTTTCTGTTTTAATGAGACTTGAGTGAAAATAATTTTAATACTATTTACTTTTACATGTATTTTTCTTTTTCTATATTTTATTTTATTTTTTAATTCATTTTGCATAGCAACCTCAGTTCCACCTCCCTTCTTCCCCTCCCTCCCCAACCTACCCCATCCACTCCTTAGAAAGGGTAAGGCTTCCTATGGGGAGTCAACAAAGCCTGGCACATTCAGTTGAGACAGGACCAATCAGTGCTTTATTTCTTTGTTTTTTTAACATTATTTAAATATGAGGTTACTTCTAAATTTGCCTTTCAGCTAACAGTTTAAACCAATCTGTACTGGAAACAGTAATTAAATTAATTAAATTAAAACTCTAGTTTATAATTACCAATTCCTATTTTCTTGACTTCCTATTGATTTTTCACACTCTATGTTCATAACTAGGTAATACTTTTCCTTTACAAGTAGCATGTTTGCTAAAGAGAGTCATATAAAGCTTCCTGACAGGTTATATATTAGGAATGCTTTTGTGTAACTCTGTCGGTAGTATACACATGCACACAGCCCTATATTTACACAACAAAACTCCTGATGACTAGGAAAGTTGCATCAGAATCCAGTCAGGACTTTCACTCACTACTCTAGCAGTGGAATTCCTACTATTGAGAGTTTTATGTCTACGACTTCATAAAATGTGCTAGAAATGAGAACGATTAATAAAAGAAAAAAACAGTTCCTGGCTTATGAACCATCTCCTTGAGCATAGGAGTCATTTTCTTGGGAGGAAAAATTCCTAATGCAAAACTGTTAATTCCACATCTGGTGACTCTAGGATCATAGCATAAATTTTGACTTTACCTTAAGCAAATTTGCCAAAAGCCAATGACTTTTCAGTGCCTCAGGGTTTTATAAAAATAGCATTAGGTTTTTATTAATTTGCAGAAAATTATTTGGAGAAAATATTGCCACATCTCATTTTTTTATATATTCTAAGGAGCAGATCTCACAAGTTTACAAGTCTGTATATGTTTTAAGTCAGGCAGCAGTAGCAGCCAGGATTTCACAACACTAACTCTACCCATGGAGAGGACTGTCTAATCAAATAATAAATCATTAGCGAATCATTGATATATAATTTTATGTCATTACACATATGTATTTATCTATAACTTCAAAACTGAAAACTCTTTTCACAGTTTTACAATTTGTCACAAGACAGAAGTTGTCAAAAACACTCTAAATCCTGTGTGGCAAGCCTTCAAGATCTCAGTCAGAGCATTGTGCAATGGGGATTATGACAGGTAAGACCACTGAGACATTCAAACTGAGAATATGAAATGTTCATGGTCTGTGGAACTGGGATCTAGTCCACACTGTATTTTTATGAAGGTGGCTTCTTCACCTTAGTAAACATATTTTTTTTCTCCAAAAGTATAACTAGGTTATTAAAAAAAAATTCAAGTAACTTGGCTTTAATTTATAATGATTGGGGGAATAAATGTAATTATAGCTAATTAAAGCTTGATTAATTGGACTGTTTTTTCCCAAGATAAATATGTATTAAGTACTGAAAATAGATTCAATGTTAGTTAACTTTTAACTTACTATATAAATATTGTTCCTAAATTTTCATTGCCTCAAGCTACCATTGCCTTAATGGCCCATCCTGCTAGAGTGCAGCACATAGGTGCTCACCATAGACAGGACACTGGCTAGAGTACTGTCACTCCTTAAAAGTGTTATAACTGTGCTCATGGGCTCATAAAAGTTCTACAGAAACAAAGAAGGCTCTTTAACAAGGTCCACACAGTATGCTGATACTTCCAGCACACTTGAAGGTTTTCTTTGTTGGAAACTTACGGTAGACTATTACGTAAAAAACTACTATAGAATTAAAACTAAATATATATAAATAAAATTTCAGTGTCTTTGTTATTTTACTAGTCTTACTACTTGTATGTTTGCCAAAAAAATTTAATTTTTAGGTAGTGATGAGACAGGGCCTAACTGTTATGTAGCTCAGGCTGGCCGTGAATGTCTGATTCTAATGATGCAGTGTCAAGGGCACTACCACATTCAGGGTGGTTTATTCTACTAACCAAAAGCATGCTAAGAACTGTAAGTAGTATGTTATCATATTTACTTTTAAATGTGTGATATCATTTGATGGGTGAGACTAACTTTATTTAACTGGTTCATTCTTACCCTAAGGAAACAGTTCTTGTATGTTTTCTAATTAGCAATGCCAACACTACTTGGTCACTTTGTAAAAATGAAGCTTTCTAGACCCAACTCAGACCTATTGAACCAGAAGTTCTGGGAAAAAGGTCTAGTAAGCCATGTTGTGATTAGATCTTCAGATAGCTCTAATCTGCTTGGATTTGAGAAATCAGTGGTCTCCAAGAAGGGAGGTTGGAGACTATCTTCCACTGAGAAGTTGTATTGTCCACACATTAAAGAATTAATATAGATTCCTAAAACTGACTTTAAGATGTAAATTTAATTTTAGTAATTTTAAAAAATCAGTGCTTGAAAGAAAGACACCATGTGACAGAACAAAGGGGTTTTTAGGGAAAAGGATTATAAAAAGGGGAAAGTGTGTGTGGGGGAAACAGGAGAAGTGGGAAGGGGAAAAAGAGAGGCAGAGAGAGAGGGGAATAAACAGAGAGGAAGAGAAAGGCAGACAAAGATGGGAGGTTCCCTTTTAAAAGGGAACATAGTGAATAGGCACAGGTGGTGCTCTTATTGGCAGCAGTTGAGGGTGTATCTTGTTAGAACTCCAAAGGCAGGCCAGTAAAATGCCTAAATACTAACAGTAATGAAATTAGCTAAATTAACTTCAATTTACTTTGTGAAACTTATAAGCCTATATTCTTCTCTAAGAACAACTAACTGAATTTTATTTTGTAGATTCAGAACATATTATTTTAATATTATACCATTGAATCATGTTATTTTATTTAAAGCACTTTCATGTGTGTATTTTTCTCCTGGCAGAACAATCAAAGTAGAAGTGTATGACTGGGACCGAGATGGAAGGTAAGGCTTTGTGTTTGTGTCAGTCCTGCTATTGAGACTTAATGCAACCAAACACTCTGCATGGAAATGACTATGTTGTTTTCTCTTGTGTCATGTTTTTTGTTTGTTTGTTTTAAAAAAATACGTTACTGATGAGTTTACATGTGATTTTAAAAGCAATATATTTTCTTCAACTTTGAGATCACAATGAAGTGTTTATTCATTTACAATAAAGAATTCATTATTGGCCTTAATGATTTGATAATGTGTTCAACCTACAGGTATCTATTTTTACAGCTAGCATAGGGATCTCCATTGCTCCAGCTCAGAGGCTCTGTGAAGGATCCTATAAACTGTTTGACATGCCACTCAAGGGAATTCTAACACACACACACACACACACACACACACACACACACACAAAAAAACCACACTATTCTTTTTATGATGGTGGCAATAAAACCTGAACCTTACACATGACAAATACTGCTGAGCTGCATCCCCAGGAACTACTGACATTTGAGAGATCAGATTTAGAATCAATGAAAATATTTAATCCCAAGAAGACTGAGAATAAAAAGGATGAGGTTAGAATAAGAAAAGATCTTTAGGGGAAAATTTAAATATTCCTTGGAAATGAATTATGTGAACAGATTGGTGAAAGATGTTGCAATGTTTTGAGGATTCCCTTTAGTTCTGAGACAAAGTGTCTTTATCTTCATTTAAATGCTACAGATCAGCATTTTGAAACAAAATATTAATGCACAATTCCATATTATACATGTACCCTGAAGTAGCTGCTTAAATTTTAACTGAATATTTAATTTATAGATAAGATAGACTTATCCATAAAGGCTAGACTACATTATTAATTAAATTCTCAGTAATACTCTCAAATAACTAATGTGACTTGAAAAGCATGTTAAGTTATAACAGAAAATAATACAGAAAACAAAACTCAGAAGTTAATTTTACAATTAATTGTAATCACCATACAGTCATTATGCCAGTTGATAGCCTTTGGTGTTCTATTTTGGATAATAACATTGGTTCTACATGTGTCTTTATTTATCTTACAGTTTCCAAATATGACATGCACTCTTTATAACAGAGTGTAAATTAATGATCAAAGGACACTACACTGTTATGTTTCCTCTCTGCTATCTTTGATGTGTGAAATTCTGTACCTCTCTCATTTTGCATTTCCTGTGATGCCAGAAATTTTGGTGCTTCTTTTTACAAAAGGATTATAAGTGGGATTTCTTTTTGTTTTGTTTTTCTTTGTTTTTTTGAGACACTATATATATATAGTTCTGGCTGACCTTGAACTTGCTATTTAGAACATGTTGGCCTCAAACTCAACAGAGCTCTCCTTGCCTCTGCCTCCTGAGTACTAAGATTAAAGGTTTGTAACACCATGCTCAGCCCAGAGGACCATCTTTTACTTTGAACAGTCTGGACTAGCATTGTTTAAATAATTCAAGATCTTAGTTTGGTTTTCTATTTCTATGAAGAGACACCATGATTACAACTACTCTTAAAAAGGAAAACATTTAATTGGGGCTAGCTTACAGTTTCAGAGGTTTAGTCCTTTATTTTCATGACAGGACATGGTGGTTTGCAGGCAGACAAGGTGCTGGGGTGGTAGCTGGGAGTTCTACATCTTGATCAGCAGGCAGCAGAGGAGACTGTGTGCCACAACAGATATAGCTTGAGCACATAAGACCTCAAAGCCCACCTCCACAATGACATAACTCGTCCAACAAGGCCACACCTCCTAGCAGTGCCACTCCCTATGGGCCAAGCATTCAAACACATGAGTCTATGGAGGCCATACCTATTCAAACCACCACACCAAGTCACATGGATAATTTTAAATTTTCTTTTGGCAACACTAGGAAGTAAATGTAAACCAGCAGCATCAATGTAATAATGTTTCAATCTTTGGTACATAAAATGCTACCTTTAGTGTACAGTTACTGTAACGATGGTTAAAGTAGAAAGTGTACCTTTTAACACATCCTTTAAAATCTGACATGTATATTTTGCTTATGCTGTAGCTGAGTTCAGATTCATTGTGTTTCAAGTGCTTTATAGAACTACATGCTGGGGATGAATCGTTATATAACATTGTTTTGACTATGACATCAATCTATAGGATGTGAATTGTAAGAAACATTATACCACTTGGGCATGGAGTCTATTTCTATAATTCCAACTACTCGGGAGCTGGGAACATGGCAAGTTTGAGGAATGGAGGACTGTTTGGGCCATAGAGTTATTTCAAAGCCCTCAGGCAATTAATGAGATCCTGTCTCAAAATAATAACTAGAAGTAAATAAAGTGCTTGGGATATAGATTAGAAATAGAGCAAAAGCCTAGTTTGAAGACCCTGAATCTAATCTCCATTACAAAGCTGAGAGTTCTCTATATTACTTTGTGTGGATGTTTAACCATTCAAGGCTAGTGTATATAAATAGAGGGAATACTTCAATTAAAAGCTTTTGTGGAAGATGCTTGATACATTGATAGCTCATAATCACATTTTTTACTCATGGGGGAGCTACTGGTGACTGATGTCATAATGAGAACTTCTGGTAGTCCTGCGTGTGACCTGGGATTTCCTTCTGTGAGGAAAGCCTGTGGGTATGAAGTATATGAGCGAATATTGTAATGCAGTTTACCAGTTAAGTAGTTCACATTGAATCTACTGTCCTGAATCAGTCTAGAATAGAAGAAATGTGGTTACCTAAGTTTTTATTTAAACACAGTGTGCTGAGAGGGCAATGGTATTATGTCACCTCGTTATGAGCAATCAGTTCAGATATACTTTATTTTCAACAAGTTAAACCACTTGAGTGTAGTGTATCTTTTTGTCTGCTAACTGCCATGTCTTTCAGGGATGTGGAAGAATATTTAAATTTCATTTTGAAAAGTGAAAGCTAAAGTTCTAAGGAACAGGCTTGTCTGGGTCATAAAACCATCTGTGGTGGGTGATGTCCTTGAAAAGCCTCACTTTGCTAGAAGTTACTTCAGCTGAATTTAGTTTGATTCAGAATTGGGGCTCATTAGTAGAACAGTTCTGCATAAAATCTACACGGCTGTCATGTGTGACTGCCATAGGTGACTAAGTAGACAGTTGCTACCACAGCATGAGGATTTGATGAAAAGTCGGAGCCAGTAATCTGCCAGTCATCACTTCCCAGCTTCAGACTGTCGCATAGGGGATGTTAAGTGTCATTGTAGCCACTGTATTCTATCAAAAGCCCTGGTATTTATTATAAGTATAAACTCTATATGTGAAATGCTACACAATGCCAGGTTTTCTAGACTGTTCCCTTTAGTGAGTTTTGTTAAGCCTATTGAAGGTTGCAGTTCTGGGAGTCTGTGTTATCTTAAGCCCAGGGTTTAACAATTTACTTGTGCTTAACATGAGGTGTGAGACCTCATTTAGAAGATCATTTTATAAACCTTTCATGTTTTCCTCATTTATTTTCAATTTCCTCTCTAATCTTCCCCTAAAATTAGCCCATTGTTTGCTTTCTGTTAATCCTACTATCCTGTGTATGCAAGCTGCAAGCTTTGAGGTATTTTTTTTTAATGTTGATAAATAGAATTTCATAAACTGAATGTTATTCAAGCACATCTATTTTTGTCTTTTTTTTTTTTCCTTTCAAATATAGCATGTGACTTTCTGTCCCCTGGCCTTTTAATTTGTAATTATCATACTCAAGATGGGTTGTTTCAATTATGTGTGCATTAGATTCTTAATCAATTTTTAACTCTTGAACATCTTCACTTATTTAAATGAGTCCATAAAAAATCTGTTCAATTAATTTTGGACTAAATTGTTGTGGCGTACTTACATGTTAAACAGTTGACCTGGTATAGTGACTTAACTGAAGACTTTAATCTTTATGTAAAAATGTTCTAATTATATTTAATTTGCTTTGCAATCTTTCTGTCTATCTCAAAAGACTTTGGAGTCCTTAGATTTTAATATCATTTTCCAGAAAATTACAAATTTCACACGGTGTTCTGCTAAGATATGTCAGCAAATTCCTCAGCCATTTTCAACAACACAGTACCCCAGACTGCTTGCCTTGCTGTCAAATTTTTCCTAGTAAGGAAAGGCTTACTCTGTTCATATATAGGTTTTCTGTTGAAATGTCATTAACCAGAGGAAAAAGATTCATGAAATCCTGTGTTTATTAACACACATAGTGAATTCATTCTGCTGGGTCTTCCATGCTAACTGCAAGCTCACTGGTTTCAGGGGACTGTTTTGTCTTACTGCTCACACAGCACTTTAAGGTCAGGTGCCTTTTCATGTTTGCGCCTAGTGATTGTGTCAGTTTCACACCTGTCAGGAATATCTGTGGCAGCTGATGTCTTCCTAATGGGCACTCAAGCCTCACAGGAGTTTGTTACTCTCCTTATTTCTCCCTCACTTCCGATCGTTGGAAATGATCTCAAATAACTTCAGTACATTGAAGTTCTTGGGTAGCTTACAGCTGTGATTAATTTGGCCATCACTTCCTCATTCAGGAATTTTGTGAACATTTCTTTCTAGATTTCTTCTTTGACCTCTTCATTATCCTGTAGTGTGTTGTTTAATCTCTGTGAATTTATATAATTTCTAGAGAGTCTTTTGTTGCTGGTGTCTAGCTTTGTTTCATTGTAGTCAAGAAGGATGCATGAAATTATTTCAGTTCTTCTGTACTTGTTGAGATTTTGTTTAGTTCCCAGTGTGTAGTCTGTTTTAAAGACTCTCCTGTGGGCTTTGGAATAGAAGGTACTTTTTTGGTACTTAGATGGAATGTTCTATAGGTAACTGTAGTTAGAGCCATTGTCATTTAATGTAGGTGTTTCTCTGTTTATTTATTTTTTGTCCAAATGCTTTATCTATTGGAGAAAGGGTGGAATTGAAGTCACTTACTATGACTGAGTTGTGTCCATTAGTATCTTGCAGTCTACGAGTATGCTTTTTATAAAACTGTGTGTTCATCGTTTTGGTGCAC